CGCCCACTGTTCTTCCTGTGATCTCTTTGATTGTTTGCTACGTTCGTATTCTCTCTGCTCTGTTTGATTACTTGTTACTTCTGCGTCCCGCGCACTGTTTTTCCTGTGTTCTGTTTCGACTCGCGCTATGATTTCTGTTTTTTTTTCGCGCTAATGTCTCCCACGCATTTTTTTTTATGTGTTTTGTTTAATTGTTAAGTTTCTAGTACGCAACTGTTTTGGTTTTTCATTATTCTGTTTGATTATTAGTAGTATCCCGCCCATTCTCAGCATAGTTGTGTTCAGTCTGATTGTTACCTCAGTTGCGCTCTGTGTTGCCGTATGCTTTGTTCAGTAGATTCATGTGTTTTTATCATGTGTTTATATCTCGAAATCGCCTTATTTTACTCGTTTTTCTTTCCAATAACTTTACCTTTTTTTTCAGATTTGGCCGTCGTGTGCCTTTTTGTGTCTTCATGATCATCGGTGGAGTTGCGTGTCTTCTTGTTCTTATTGTTCCTAAAGGTATGCTTCTAACTTATTGACTGAATTTGATTTCCAGTTCGCAACGTCATAGCATTCTCGACCTCTTTTTACTTGCTACTTTTGAAGTAGCTTTGTTATTGGTTAAAGCCATTTCGCGTCACGTGACTATTCCATAGTAGTTAACAGAGTAGTTAATTGTGTAATGAAGTATCCATCTTAGTTAACACCTCAACATCAGTGCGTGTATTCTTCATACTGTTCTCTACACATTTCCTATCACACTGACAAGGAGAATTTATTTAACAATCAAAGGCTTCTAAAGGCGATGATTTCTTTTATTCTCATGACCTTAATATGTGATTCAGTAGTGATTCTGTAAGGAGAAATTAGCTGTAAATCACTGTTAGGGGTGAAAGGGTTAACTTTCTTTACTTCTATATGTAAGAAATATTGTACGCTTTCGACCCTGCCTTGATACACATCTAATGGTTGGGACGAATGATACATCATATGGTGATTTTATGGTGTGAGAGGGGTTATGTCAGAGAGGGGATTGGGGAGGAGTAAGATTTCGTCTCGGAGACGGTTACAGGGGGTGAAGTTAAAGATATTGAGGAATGAAAGTGATGTGAGTTTCAGTAGAAATTTATCATTTTGTAATAATTAAATTTTTACAGACGAAGAACGATTCATCAGAATTCTCGCTTTTATTGGACGCGGCTTTGTTACGATGTCATTTTCAATCTTATATCTGTATAGCAGTGAACTGTACCCTACTTCCATTAGGTGAGACAAAAAAAGACTGATTCTCTTATTCTGATGAGATGCTTAGTGATCGAGTGAAATCCAATTCAGTTTATTTGGTTCATGGAAGCTATGTTATGTTGCTCTCTTCATTGCAGTTGTTTCTGTGTGTTTGTGTTTAGTTAGGTTGGTGCATTAGCGCAAATGGATCTATTCTTACTCTCACCCTGATATTTTCTTGATTGTCACGTTAGCAGTTTGCATTCGCTCCTTTCTCCTTTCTCATTTTTGCACAAGTAATTAACGTTATGTATGTGTTTGTGTTTAAATGTTCGGTAGTTATGCACAACACATTGTTTCTTTTTGTTTCAGCAATGTGCATTCTGTTGCTTGATTAAGTTGGTTAAGATTTATGTTCTACCTTGTTCCCTGCCCTGTCCGCTGTTTTAAATATCAAAATAGCATCCGGCATATCTTTCCTGTGTGAATTACTCTCAATAGGAACCTTGCTGTTGGGACTTGTTCAACTATTGCTCGCCTTGGTTTTATTTTGGCCTCCTATATTGTTATGCTGGTAAGTAATATGTGCTTATGGACCACGTTGGGGAGCTGAATATCAATGGTAAAAATTACAATGATACACTGACAAAGTCCAGAGAATGAAGGCTGGATCGAAAAAACGGACTCACCACGTTCCTACCATGAATCTGTAGATGATTGAATTTTAAGTCATTTGCATCAAAGTGTATTTTAAACGTGTAATTTTTTTCCATCTCGCAGTCGCAGTTACCCGGACTCAGTGTTATTTTTCCGATGGTTGTCTTTGGAGCATTAGCTTTAACCGCTGGCCTAGTGATACTTTGGCTTCCAGAGACTCTCAACTCAAACATGTGTCAGACGTTGGACGAAACAAATCGACAAAATGAATATTATGGGTTTATATGGATGGAGAGACGTGTTAATATTCCATTTTCATTTTCAAGGTGAGACACCGGTTTGGCAATGGGGGGAGGGGTAGTCTGAGGATTTTTCCGGGGGGATCACATGGTTCTCAGCGAGGACAAAGGGGGGATCAATAGGTAACTACCAATAACGGGGGATCACTAGGATAACACAGAGCGTCAGTGGGGGATCAGGTAGATTTTATTGTGACATAGCCATAATCCTCTGACCTCATCGCCCCCCCTCCCGATGATAAATATTGACTGGTCCCTTAACACTTTCACTCCCAAGATCTTATTAGCAATTCTCCTTACTGACTACTGTACAGTTCTTATGATTTTAGTTCTGAGAATTTGTGACTGGATCAACTGTTAATCCTTAATTGATATTTCTCTCTATTCTCATCACCTGTTTGCTATAAATTGTATGGATATTGTAGGGAGAAATTCAGTGGTGGTCACTCATGGGAGTTAAAGCCTCATACTGAGTGTGGCGTGTGATTCAGTGAGAATCAAGTGAAAACAGCAAGAAAAAGTGAATGAATTTTAAGTAACGTTTTTCTGTTTAGACTCAGGTCTCCAGGCGCTGCACATGTGCGTGTTGTTTCCAACGAGGGGGTTCAAGTTGGGGAGGACAGTGACGGTGATGATGATGATACCGTGGACAATGCTCCATTGATTACTTGACAGAACATAGTCAATGTTTGATTTGAATCATATTTAATTTTAAAGAAGGAACATGATGACAAAGGTAAAACAATTGTACAGTGTTTTGTAATTCAAGGTAACCTTTTCCAGGCCTTCAGCGGTTGTCGGCATGCAAGTGCGGAGGCTGGGGAGAGACAGGCTCTCTTACTTTGTTCGCATGCCATTGTTAACAATCCAGAGCTTGGAATGGGTTACTATGGTCATTGGTTATCGTGTTTAGTTAAGTGCGATCTATAATGGTAACTTAATTGGGTGGGGTGGAATTTGGTCTGTAATCATAGAGTTATATAAAATTAGACGAGCACGCAGCGCAAGTTTGATTTGAAATCACAACAATGATTTCAGACCAAAATTGCACTACAGTAAGTTCATTTTACACTTTATTGTATACATTCTGAAATTGCAAAATTCATTCGCTCAAATATGGATTTTTTAGTGCGTAGAAATGATTTATTGATTCAATACTGAAATGGTTAGTAAAAAGTTGCAAAAGTTTTCTTTCATTTTCCTCGAATATAACTGGTCTCTTTAAATAAGCCTTGAAATCTGATAGGTTGTTGTAAAAAGACGCGATGTAGAGTAAAATATGGTGCGATTCTTGAATAAAAGCACCAACGAGAGCCAGTCAGATTGCTAAGATCATCATCAGTGATTTCAAAATGGATGTAATAGATGTATCAATCGCACTGCTTGAATTCAACAAATTACATAGATCATCAGACTTGAAATTATGTAATGGAGCTAAAAACATCCTTTTTTTAGCCTTCATTTTGTTGTTATAAGGTTTATATGAGGTTATTTATTATACACTTTCTATAGTTCGCACAACGCATCAAGCCAAAGATATACGGTTAGATACAGTATGAAGTAGTTGGCACAATTACACAAGTAATTGTTTTGATATTGTGTTTTGCTAAAATTCTTCAAATTTTTTCTTACCTGTAATTTTGAATCTCTCAATTTTATATCTCTTTTTATTTGTAATTATATTTTAATTATATCTTGTTTTTCAAATTAAGCGTTTAAATTGTTTTAAAATTATTAATTTTGACTATACCGTGAAATTATACACCCCCATCGTTAGCTCAACTACTATTAATGTGGAAGATATTTCACTTTTATCTTGGATGTTGTAGGGTATAAATTTTATTAGGGATCAATTTTATTTGTTTTCAACAGAAATGTCTTTTGTATAATTAAGACGACGAGACATTTCCAGAAGAGCAGAATACTTAATTCCCTATTGTGTAAAAGAATCAAAAATAAAAATCCTGTGTGGGCTTTAAAGAGCACCTCTGTCTGTCGAAACAAAATAATTTAGAACAAACTCGACTGCAAGTACTTGGGTATGGACGTAAGCCTCCTAAAAGTCATCAACGAATGTCTATCGCTTAAATGTTCATGAGTTTATTTCACATCCGTTAAGAGGACTTCCCGAACCTTTCATAGTGCGTTATAAATAACTTTTTAACCTTTCGATTGTTTGCAAGTGGATATTAAAACAAAAAAAAAAGGTTTGTTTTATAAGCAAATATAAATTGTTAAACCAGGGTTGACTTGAGGTCCCCAAATGCTTATTTGCCAATTTCTATTGTTTAAATATTCATGAGCTCGTATCTCTGGCAAAATGAAGATTTCGCAAAAAATTCATATTTTGTTCGAAAGAGCTTGATTGCGTGTCGATTGTTTGCAAGTTTTAAAGTTAAAGCTCTTTTTTGGAACGAGAAAAACCCCGCTGAATATTAAAACAAAATAGTTTTGTTAATGAGCAAAAATAGACCTGTTAGACAAGGGCTTGCTCAAGGTCCACAAAAAATAATTAACCAATTTCCATTGTTTAAATATTCCTGGACTGATATCCATGGTAAAATGAAGATTTCCCGGACAATTTATAGTGTATCAGAAAAAGCTTGATTAGCTGTTTATTGCGTGCAAGTCCTAAATTCACAGCTCTTTCTTGGAACGAGAAAATACGCGCCGAATATTAAGACAAAAGAATTTTGTTAATGAGTAAAAATAGACCTGTTGAAGAAGGGTTTGCTTAAGGTCCACAAAAACTAATTAACCAATTTCTATTGTTTAGATATTCATGGACTGATATCTCTGGCAAAATGAGGATTTTCCGGAGAATTCATAGTGTATCAGAAAAGGTTTGATTAGCTGTCGATTGCGAGCAAGTTTCAGAGTCGCAGCTTCTTTTTGGAACGAGAAAATCCATGCTAAATATTTAAACAAAAGAGTTATGTTAATAAGCAAATAAAGATTTTTAAAACAGGGTTACCTCAAGATCCCCAAACGTCCATCAGCCAATTTCTTTTGTTTAAATATTCATGGGCCGATATCTCTGGCAAAATGAGGATTTCCCGGACAGTTCATGGTGTATCAGAAAAAGCTCGATTAGCTGTCGATTGCGACCAAGTTTCAGAGTCACTGCTCTTGTTTTGGGAACGAGAAGATCCCTGCTGAATATTTAAACAGAAGAATTTTGTTAATAAGCAAATACAGGGTTAGCTCGAGGTCCCCAAATGCTCATCAACCAATTTCTAAATAGACCTGTTGAACTAGGGTTGGCTCAAGGTCGACAAAAGCTCCTAAACCAATTTATATGAAAGCTTGATTAGCTGTCGATTGTGTGCAAACAAAATAAAATAATTTTGTGATGATGAGCAAAATGGGACTCTTGAATCAGGGTTGGCACGATGTCCCTAAAAACTCATTAATCTGTACCCGTTATGATGTAAATGTTTAAAAAGGTAGGTAAAGAAATGAGCATACAGCTCAAAATAAAGTGTCCTTGCGTCTCTTAAACTAAAGAACATACACTGTCATAACCAAAGACGAGGGCGAGAAATCAGGGCCCAGATTTTCATTGGGCAGATACAGTTAACCAACGGATAAATCGCTATGCAACGGAGGAGTGTTAACAAAACGTACTATGCCATTCACCGGATGGAGATTTATCCGGCGGATAGCGTTTTCCACCCTTTTTGAGCCACCAGGGTCAGATGGATTAAATAATACAAAGGCAAATCCTATGAGGATAATCCATGCTGATTTATGAAACATCGCTCATGTCATTTTTTCCATTTTCTTGGTGACTTATAAGTGATAAGAAATCCATGAACCGCAGCAACTAGAGTACTGCAACTCACAAAACTGAGCCCACGATGTGGTTCACTCGACTATAGCATTGCTAGGCAACGCAAATCCCGTAATAGTTTCCGACTTGTCCATAGGGACCTGATTGCAGTACAGACAACAAGCGGCCTTTAGGTGTTTTCACTGTTCTCCATGGCTAAGTTCATTTGTTTAAAGAAGGTTTTTCTAGTCATAAATAAAGTTTAATCAGCTCATCACTGACAGCAGAAGGCGTTAGAACTCCAAGATCTGTGAACAGCAGGGTGATGTAAGATGGCGGAGTATAGTCAACTATTGGATGACTATCCTCACTGGAAGAACTTCCTGAGTACTAAAGCAACAAAACCAAGTACATCAATAAAAGGGTGACACACGGGGACAATCCAGGGAGTGTTACATCAAAAAATGTCCCTTGAAACTTGTCCAACAACGGTGCCACAGAATTTCGAGAAAAACTGAGAAAACAACCCAACCCAACCCATTTCTACCACAGACCGAATGCATCCCCCACGCTCGCTCTTTTTGCACGCAGGTGCTTTCTCTCTTTTTGGTCGAAACCATCTTTTTTTATGACAGACTTTATTGGAACGCTTGTGTCTATTCACGCTTACCAAGCTTGTGAGTCTACTTGCC